AAAAAAAAATTTTTCTCTCTTTTTTTTTTCCTTGAGACAGTCTCTCTGTTGCCCTGGGTAGAGTGCCATGGCGTCATAGCTCACAGCAATCTCAAGCTCCTGGGCTCAAGCCATCCTCCGACCTCAGCCTCCTGGCTCTAGGTGCTTGTGACAACACAACTGGCTAACTTTTCTATTTTCAGTGGAGATGGGGGTCTCGCTCTTGCTCAGGCTGGTCTCGAATCTCTGACCTCAAGCAATCCTCCCACCTCGGCTTCCCAGAGAGCTAGGATTACAGGCATGGTCCACTGTGTTCAACCTTAATTTTCTATTAATATTTTAAATATGCACAATGTTTTGGGGCAATTGATAGTTAAAGAAACTAAAACAGAATTTATGTGAAAGTATAAACAAAAGGATGTAACTGAAGCATCAACATAACTTTTCTGAATAAATTTTTAAAAGCACAGGCATCGTGTCAGCAACTAAGGGGAACACGTTTTCTATAATCAGTATTTCAGAAGATAGGCCTTTCAAGAAAAAATCTGTCATTAGGTGAGGTCCTGTGCATGATGCAATGGTACATTTCAAAACTATTATGAGAATAATTGTGATGGATGTGTTACTTGGTTCAATGTAAACATTTCACATCGTATATGGAAGCAGTGCCCTGAGCCCCATAAATGCATCAATGTACAAAATTATGATTTAATAAAAAATAATTATTAAAAAAAGTTTGTCTAATACTCCATGTCTACACTGGTTTACTGCATTACTACAGAAGCACCTCTGGTTTGAAGGCATCTTGGCAGTTTGTTACGTCCCAGCACTACCCTCTTTCTAAGCTTAGAGTTGCATGCACCAGATCATATGTTAACTCACCCGTCCATGTTTGCAGATGTAGTCGAATAATTCGCCTCCAGACACATATTCCATTACCATAAAAAAATCCGTTGGAGTGCTGATCACCTGGTATCTTTTTTGTAAATAAAAAAAAGTTACCAATGTTACTTTAACCAAAAATCGACCTACTATAGTTACTTTGGCTACAATGTCATAGTCTAGTGTTTTATAATATTTTAAGATGGCAAATGACAGGTTATCAAAATAATCACAGAGTTGTAAACACGGAGCGCTACAAATTAGTCTGCCTCCTGAGGTTCGTGCCCCTGCCTGCAGAATCTTCCCTTCCATGTTGACATAATTCTCCACTCTTTAGCAACTAAGGAAAGCATGAGTTACTCCACCTAAACAGAAACGTGTTCACGAAGCAGAGAAAGTATCACGTACACGGCATATCTAAATATTTACCTGAACATAAATAAAAATACTCTTGGACCGAGACGAGGAAAATAACCCTTTCTTCTGCAACTAAAAATACAAGAAAAAAATCGGAAAGGGACAGCTATTTACTGTGAGGAATTCAGGAGAAAAGTGGACTAATTATACTGTATAGGCTTGTGTTGATTCTAACTGAAACAAACCAACTTTAAAAACCATTTAGGAAACAATCAGCTAAACCCGAAAGCTATACGACGGCGGATATTACTTATATTTTTTAGACATGATATAACGGTACATTATTTATATGTTTTAGATATGATATGATAATGGTACTGTGCTTATAATTTAAAATTTACAAAGAGTGTTTCTAAGGTAGCTGCTAAGGAGTAGTTGACAGATTATATAATGTTTGAGATTTTCTTCAGAATAACCTGGGGTGAGGGAAACGAGGGGAAGCAGATAAAACAACACCTTGACGATTGCTGAAGGTGGTAACAGACACGGGGGGGGGTGTGTCATCACTTTGCTTTCATAGATGTTAAAAAAATTCCATAATGAAAAATTAAGTGTGTGTATGTGTGTGTGTTTTCAGGCACTCAAAGCTGGGTACACTAAAAAATGATTAAAAAAAAAAACTTTAGTTTTATTTAACAAATGAAGTTTTTCCCCCAAACCACAACTTACCTACATTTTACTAAAACAAGTTCTAGAAATTCTGAAAATGAATTCAATGTTAATGTTTTACCTGAATGTCGCAGTTCACATTTACATGAGTGAACAATGGCACTACTTTTTAAAATAAGTTGCTTTGTTTAGAATGGATGATCTATAGCCTGGGTGATTATGAGCAATATCTAATTATGCTGAGTTACTACTTAGGGCCACTAAGAAAAGCTATGTAGTTTCTGCATAGTTTACAGACGCACGGAGGAGGCACAAGTTGAAGCTGGTGCCACCCTCTAAGCAGTACACAACAACAGCAGGTAAGTCACAAGCAAAGGCATCTTTGGGGAGTTTGTCCACGCAGATGGGGAACCTTCACTGATGTGCACAACAGCAAGCGTGTGCTACTTGGTGGGTCTAGTTACTACTCTGAAATAAAGAAGTAGAGAACATTGGCCAGAAAGTTAGTGACGTAACTACATACTATACTTGTGAAGAGAGGAAACATCATATGTATAAATTAAATGTTTGAAAATAGCAAAATATTAAAGCTGTAGTATTAAAATGGTTACCAATTTTCAAAAAAGGAAAAATTTTTTTTTTGAGAAAAAAATTTTTTAAGACGCCTTGGTAAAGCACCATGGCGTCTTAACTCACAGCAACTTCAAACTCTTGGGCTCAAGTAATCCTTTTGCTTCACAGCCTCTCAAGTAGCTGGGACTACAGGCGACCACCACAACACCTGGCTATTTTTAGAGAAAGGGTCTCGCTCTGGCTCAGGCTGGTTTTGAACCTGTGAGCTCAGGCGATCCACCCACCTCGGCCTCCCAAGTGCTGGGATTACAGGCCTGAGCCACCACACCTGGCCTTCAAAAAGTATTTTTAATAGCAATCTTTAATGCTGGAAAGACACATAACAAGGTTACCTCACTTTATATAAAAGAAATAAAAAAACTTGAAAAAGAAATTTGAGAGTATTTCACATGAACTCTGGAACAGGAATTTCACCTGAGAACTCTAGAAGACGCGGTTTTATAAAAGCTACTTACCAGGCACAGAAGTGATCCCATGAGTGCAGAGTGCACGGCGCTAGCAGCACCTGCTGGATCAGCTCACTTTAGGCTGATCTGATTTACTAACGCTAACAATTTACATCCTAGAGAGGATGCGAGGGAACAGAAGTGACGAAATTCTACTAGCTAAACTTGGCTGCTGAGTCTTCTGAGTACACCACAGGCCTTCAACAGATATTGTTGGAATGAATTACCGTAGACCCACCCAAGTGACTATGATAAGCCGGTCAGCACGTGGAGGTGGTCAACATAGGAGCTAGGCCTGCTGTTCTGAAACGTACGTGTTGTGGATGTCCAGTCTGTGACAACCAGGTCAACTACAGAGATTCTACTGTAACTTCACGAAGCCTCTAACTCCACAGGAGCCACTCACTGGCCCACACTGAACGCCAGTCTAGAGCGATGAAAACCACAGACGAGCGCTCACTGTGTGCCAACACCAAGCTAGTAAACGGTGATACTTAATATTCATTGCGTGCCTACTTGTACCGCACAGGGTAAGGTCAACAGCTGTTCCCTCTACTCTTGGAGCTTGCAGTGTAGACAGATGGACATTTAACACAGGTTCTCACCAGACACAATCCACTCTCCAGCAGCCTCCTAATTTACAATCTTCAGGTTCCCCGATGCTCTCTGGTGCTGATTTAATCAGGCTCCTGCCATCTGTGTTACTCTGGCTCATCTGGGGTCCCCAGAGCTGGTCACTCCACTGGGTCTTGCTGCACTCCCCTCCTGCTGCAGCGCCTTGTGTAAGCCACACCTGAGCCCCATTCCGTGTAGCCTGCACCCCACCCTTCAACTAGTTACTAATTACCCTTCACATCTCAGCCTAAGCTCCCTCCTAAACCCAGGCCAGGGGCCCCTTCTTGCTCAGTTGGATTCCCCCAGCTTCAGAGCACATACCTCAGCTTGTATGTTTTATATTATAATTTGATTCATGAGTATGCACCTAGCAAAGTGCTTATAACCAAATATGTATTTAAATCAATGTACAGCACTTACACTTAACTCACTCATAAATAATGTGCGCAGCCTCGAGCCAAAGTCAGAGCACTACACACATGAGACTAAAAACCTGCAGCAAAATTATTACAAAACTTCAACCAATAGTTTCAACAAACTAAAATGGGGTGAGGACAAAGGGAAATGACTTTTAAAAGAGCGAAATCCTAGGAAAACAGATTCCCTTTAGGGATTTAGAGAAAAAGGCAAATTCCAGGATTATGGCCCAAACCTGGCCAGAGTAAGGCAAATCTCCTGGGCCCTCTGAAATAATCATTACATTGAAGTACTATAAGAAATTCAGGCTCGGCGCCTATACCTCAACCGGCTAAGGCGCCAGCCACGTACACCTAAGGTGGCAGGTTCAAATCCCCAGCCCGGACCAGCCAAACAACAATGACGGCTGCAACCAAAAAATAGCCGGGCGTTGTGGCGGGCGCCTGTGGTCCCAGCTACTTGGGAGGCTGAGGCAGGAGACTCGCTTGAGCCCAGGAGTTGGAGGTTGCTGTGAGCTGTGATGCCACGGCACTCTACCCAGGGGGACAGCTTGAGGCTCTGTCTCAAAAAAAAAAAAAGAAATTCAATCTGGAATCATTCAGACATGAAGCATTATTTTCTTGTACAAAAGAAAAGTAAGCTCATGTGCTTCAGCACTTTTTCAGAAATAGCACCTCTAACTGAGCAAAAAAATTAATTATCCATAAAAACCCTAAGTATTCCCATGTGGCCAAGTTATATATATTTTTAGGCAATATTCATATAAAATAGTATATAAAACTCAGGAAAAAATAGAAATCTTTCTGAAATTGGCCAAAAAACTAATACTTGCTCAGTTAATTTTTAAATGGTGGCCAAATCTATTGAGTTTTAAAAGTATTATTCATAACACTCAAGGTGAGAGCCACATCAAAGACTCAATGCCATTCACAACAGCTACTAAGAAAATAAAATACTTAGTACTGTGCTCTACCAAGGAGGAGAAAGAGCTCTACTGGAACTCTGAAACAATGATGAAAGAAATCAGGGATGGGGCGGCGCCTATGGCTCAAAGGAGTAGGGCACCGGCCCCCTATGCCAGAGGTGGTGGGTTCAAACCCAGCCCTGGCCAAAAACTGAAAAAAAAAAAAAGAAAGAAAGAAAAAAAAATCAAGGATGACACAAACAGAATAAGAACACATGCTCATGGAGTGGGGCAGAATTACAAAAGAACCCGAAACAGCCAAAGCAATCTTAAGCAAAAAGAACCAATCTGGAAGCATCTCATTACCTGACTGTGGATTACAGCTCAAGGCTACAGTAACCAGAACAGCATGGTACTGGTAGGAAAGTAGAGGCACAGACCAAGGGAACAGAATAAAGAGTCCAGATGTAAAATAATCTTCCAACAACAAATTGATCTTCGACAAAGCAGACAACAGCATGCACTGGGAAAGAAAGCCTATTCAATACGCGTAAACGGTGCCGGGAGGACTGAATAGCACACGCAGAAGAATGAAACAGGACACGGATTTCTCACCATATACACAAATTAATTTGAGAGAGATAATGTGAGGCCTGAAATCATAAAACCAATAACTTTGGGTTTTTTTGCAGTTTTTGGCCGGGGCCGGGTTTGAACCTGTCACGTCTGGTATATGGGGCCGGTGCCCTACTCCTTTAAGCCACAGGTGCCACCCAAAACCAATGTTGTTTTTATTGAATTAGGACCCAGATGTAACCCACGCATTGCGACAGGTATGCCCCTTATGTCTCTTTTAATTTATAGGTCACTCCTCAACCTCTGCTTTTTTTTTTTTTTTTGCATTCTTTTATTGAAGAAATAGTAGTTTGTGGTATAGAGGATTCCATGTTATCAATTTTGATCTATTATAACAGAATTTTGGTGGAATTCTGATTCCACGTTATCAATTTCCATCTATTATGACAGCAGAATGCACAATTTCTAACCCTTTCT